GTGGGAGTCCAGCGACATAGCCATTACGCTAACTGCTGGTTCCCACTTTATGGGATTTTAAGTGTATTAACTAGCTTTATTTAAGTGAAGTTTTTATAAATAAGATTTTTTAGTTATCTCCAAATAATTAAGATTACCAAAAAAAATTAGTCTGACATCTGTTTCGCCTTGACTTGTATGATAGTGCTCATATTTTTATATTTTTTACTATGTCTATGTCCCCACACTGGACCGGTAAACTCCCCTCAAGCACAGTGGGCTTTCAGATTTGTGAGAACATCACAGACTACTGACTGCAGATCGAATGCCCCAGAGAATGGTCTTGCTTACTGACTTCAAGGACCTTGTAATAGAAAGTCCTTTCCAAAAGGGGCCTCTGTGAGTTACTACTATTAAGACACATTATATTCCCTCAGGTCATTCTACCATTTTAAGGATAAAAAAATAACTATATTGGGGCCAGCAGATTGGCAGGAATGTTTGAGGTGCTGGACTCCCACATGATAGACTGCAGTTCAAGTTCTGAACCTGGCAACTTGTTTTCTCACTTTCTTTCTCTCTCTGTCTCTCCCTGGTGAGTGCACATGTCCTATAGCAAAATTTAAAAATAATAATGATAATAAAATTAAATAACTAATTCTTACCTACAAAAAAGAAGAAAAACCTATATATTAACTATTCTATTTATTTTAAATTATGGAATGGTACAGTTTTTAACACTACAAGTTTCCTTGAGTACTCAATCACAGTTTCTATAAAATAAAACACAAAGTTTTGCTAGATTAATAAGCTCTTTTCTTTCTCTCTCCTTTCTTTTTCCCTTTCTTTCTTTCTTCCTTTTTTTTTTTTTGAGAGGTTTTGAAATTTTAAAAGTTGTTAATTGTCAAAAACTATGGAATATGAGCAGAAGTTTTTTTGATATGTAAAGTAAACGTTTGTGGGAAAATGTAAAAATAAATAAATAAATACATAGTTTAAAAAAAAAAAAAGGTAAAAGGAGGATCCTGTCACTTTATCACATTAAGAAGTCATGAAGAAATCCTAGGAAGAAGTACAGGCACATCCAGGGAAAACCCCACCCATTTAAGGAGCCAAGTTTTACATGCCTATGTTTGATTTTAAGATATATATTCAAAATACAGTCCATACCAAATAAGTCATGGAATTTTCTATTTGGGTTTTTTTTTGGTTTTTTTTTTTGAGAGGTTTAGAAATACAGAGAGACAGAAAGCGAGAAATCACCCCCTTCTCCTCCATTCTCCTCTTGGGATCTTGGGCATGCACGCACACGCGCCTGGCATGAGTTTAAGCCACCAGGGCCTGGACTCGAACCACGGGAGACTACATGGGAGTTCAGCGACATAGCCATTATGCCAACTTCTGGTCCCCTTTCTTTCTTCCTTTCTTTCTTCTGTGGTCATGATAGCCTATTTAGGCATTTCAGTATTGTTTTAATATGAGACATGTTAATGCATTCCTGATGTTGTTAGAGCCATTAATCATTTTTGACAGAGCCTGAGATTTATATTTACATTATAATTATTTTTATTATGTAAAGTCACTTTTTGCATTTTTTAAAAAATTGTTTCAGGAGAGAGACAGGTATCCTTGACTGAGTCTTGCCATGCCATAATATTCCCCCTAGTCTTCCCAGCCATCCAGCATCATAGGCATGTTCGGGTTGACCCAGGATCTGAATCCAGACCTCCCATGTAGCTCCACTGCTGTGCAGTGCATCTTACCACGGGCACCACTGTGGCTGGGCCATTCTTCACATTCTAATGCCCAATTCATAGTAACTGCAACAACTATTCAGCTCGAATTTTCCAAGACATTCCTAATAGTGTTTTTATCCTATTGTCAGAATCTATATCATAGCATTAGGCAAACTATGGCAGATTTGCTTTGGAAAATATAATTACAAAGTTAACATATGCCTGAAAAATCACTGAATTAATTTCAGTATCTCTGGGACAACCCTCTGCCCAGTCTACTTCTCCCCCTTTTGCGATCTGTTAAAACAGGGACTTGTAGAGGATATGTTGATTTTCATCATCAAGGCCTTGGAGAGCTCTTGCTCTGTACATTAAATCCTTGTTTCCTTCTTCTCCAAGAAAAGAGAGTTCTTGCTGAGCAAACTCTGCCTTGGTTTTAAGGTTCTTATCTCTTATCTCTCAGTCTGCTGCTGCTCTTTTGCTGACTTTCTAACTCTGACCTGGGCTTGACCTTCAGTTTTCATCTACTTTCTTCTACCTCTTACTCAGCTACAGTCTCCTGTTTCTGATTATCTGGGCTTTTTCTTTTTCCCATTCTCATTACCAATTACTCTAGCTCTGCTAGCCCAAGCTTTACATCCTAAAGACCAATAGCAACCTTTCCTGTGACTCAGTCCATCCTCTGCCACTTGCTTTTCAGCCACAGTTCTGGTGTACTAAAAAAGGATATGTGTTAATTTAGGATTTTGTCTTATTGAAATTATATATCCTAATTTATGAATTCGATCTAGTCCAGTGAGGACTTGTGTAACCAATTCTCAGACTCCTGAAGATAAGGAAATGTTATTCATGAATCATTAGGGACAGCTGGAAAGCAATAAGATTTTGGGCTTGGGTGACTTCTTTAATATGCCCTCACTTCCAGGAGCATTAAGAAATGATTTCCACCTTAATAAATACCAGGTAGTAATTTTACACAGAATCTGGAAAATAATGAATAAGCAGGATCAAATCCAATGAGATATTTCAATTTTGGTAGGAGTTATGAATTTCAGTTTGCCAATATTCAAAATATACACTGGAATAGGGTCAAATAAAGAGATGATGTTTGCCCCTCAACCTGTCCACTGAAGTTCAATAATCCAAATCGCTATGAGAACACCAGGCCAGCTGATGATATCCTGAATTTGTTCACTCTTTACCTTAAAACCCTTCAATAGTTAACTGTGATTCTGGAATAAAATCCAAACTCTCAACTGTTGGTTGTTTGACTCTCCTTACGGTCTTTTCTCCTTTATCTTTGTCACTCCACTCATTCCACTCCCCAATTACAATCGATTCCCTTCCCCCTCAAATTCTGTCACTTCTCTAATTCTATCTCATTGTATTTCCTCTTGCCGAGCTGTCCCTACTGTACAATGTTCTCTTCTCCATGTCTCCTCTATTACCCAGACAACTGCTTCTGACTGGCTAAGTCCTACTCATCTTCCGACTCTAACTCAGACTTCACTTTTTGCAGGAGCTCTTCCCTGACTCCCTAAGTCACGGTTAAGTGCCTCAACATGAAACCTTGTCCTCCCTCATTCATGACGGGTTCAGGGTTTAGAGCCACCAGGCATCCAGGCAGACAAAGCCCTGGGAGGCACCAGCTGAAGGCAGGAAAATGTATTCAAAGTGTACACACAAAACAGGGGTTCTTTCACAGAGATAATTATTAGCTATAAAAAAAAAAGCCAAACATTGTCTGGGAAAGAAATTTAGAACAGTGATAGATTCTGTTTTTGTAATCATAACACTGTGAACATGCCTGTTAAACCAAAATGCATGTTAGAACTACATTGGAAGGCTGAAGAGAAAGCCAGCGGGTATAGTGATGGCAGAGAGTGTTGGGGAGAATAAAATTTTCAATTACTACCACAGAAAGTCAGCAAATTATACCTATTGACATATCAAAATATGATAACTATAAATCTTTATAGGTATGAATGTGGGTGAACTAACAGGAGAAAAGTCCTTATGTTGTGGTCTGGTACGTAGGGTAGAGTTGGGTAGGAGAACAGACTACGGTTTTTCAGCAAGGAAATTTTAGCTTTATGTGATTTCTTAAACTATGTACATACATGACTTAGATAACAAAATATTCAAAACAGGAGGCATGTGTGGCTCAGATTGCTGGGGCAGTAGGGATATTAGCCTGGAAGGAACCTTGATTCCATATATATTCCTCATTAGCTTTGTACACCCAGACTGTCAGGACCTCCTTGCTAGGTATGTAGGAAATACATAGTCTTGCCAGAATTGGTGGAGCATGAAGATAACTAATATTTTATTTCAACAGGAAGATAGCACAAAAATTCAGGCCAAAAATGTATATAGTATTTTGATTTTTTTGTAAATTTCAACATCAAACCAGAGGGTGCTTCATTAAAAATGTCTCAGTCTTGTACACTATTGTAGTTCCAATGCCTAGAACAATGCCAGGTTCACATGGATGCCTTAGAAGTAGCTGTCCTACAGATGTCAGAGCTATACAAGTTAATAAGCTATTGCTAAATTAATTGGCAGGAATGGGGAGGAAGGAAGTTCTAAGAAAGACTCAGTTTGCAAAAGGCTGAAAATAACTGAGGACATTGCCAAATT